TTACTTTTTTTATATATTTATAAGTCTAAATTAAGTTTCATTTTGATAAATAATTATTTGTGAAAGTACTGTTACTACATTGAATATTTCTGCTTTTCCTTAATAAAAGAAAAAGCAGAAGAAAACCTGAAACTATTCTCATTATTTCTATGTTAATTTTAAAGTTATTTCATTTCACAAATATATTTTATAAGATTTAATTATTTCAACCATATAATGGCCTGTGGTTTATTTTATAAAACAAAGTATCCTTAAGTTATAAACTTTTTATAAAAATAATGAGATTTTTTTTTCAAAAACAACTCACTTCTTTTAATAATCGTCTGGTTCTAGAATATTTTATACTTTTTAATAAAAAACTATCATAACTTCATAATTATGATAACTTTTTTTCTTCAAAAGTCTATCAAGTAATAAACACATGGTATGCTGGATGAAAAGTATAAATATCACTCACAAAACCAAAAATCAAGTTTGTACTTAAAAAAACTGAAAGGAAAACTTCAAACTTCAAAAGTCTATCTCCAATACAGTAATACCCTGAACTTACACAATAGGTGGGACCGAGCGGTAACCGTGTAAGTCGAGGTATAATTTCGCATATAAATACATACAAATAATTATTAATTGGGGCCAGAGACTAAAGAAAAAATTAATTTAGAAAAAAAATGTTTAATAAAATCTTAGATAATACATATGTATAACAAATTAGGCCTATATTATTTTACAATTTTTCACATTTACTTGATTATTACGCCATAATTTTAATATTGTTTCCATCTCAGCAATAATACTGTGACGTTTACGAATGGTGCTTGAATTTAAAGATTGAGCATTTTTCACAGCTTCGAGAATTTTTTCTTTGCCTTTTATAATTGTTCTGACCGACAATTCCGGTAGATCAAACTTCTTTGCCAATTCACAAATTTTCATTTTTGTATCGAAGTCTTTAATAATGGGTACGTTCGTAAAGTCAAACGAGTTAAACGCGTTAGTAACGAATCGTTCGAAAAGTCTAACGAAATAGGAATAACGATGACTTCATTCTCGCTTAACTCGTTCGACTTTACGAACATACCCAATGTTAACTTTACATTCCAAAGATAAAGTTTTTCTTTTCTTGTTTGATGCGGAAGAATTAGTTCTACTTCGTTTGGATGACATAGTAGAGTCTCTTGAGTCTCCGTAGATATAACAAACACAGAAATAAATAACACAAAATAAATTGTAGCTATGTGTGGATTCCGTGCGACACATCCGAACATGTAAGCCGAACAATAGTGTGGGGGGAGTGAGTAATCAAGGGTTGCGTGGCGCTCAAACAAAAGACGAATCGACGAGATTTGAAAATCGCGTAACTCCGGGTTCGCGTAAGTCGGGGTATTACTGTATTTTAAATAGTTGATTTTCTTTCAGAAATATTTTAAAAATCTTTATTCTGTATTGTCCAATTATCTGTTCTTTTGTATTAATTTTTACTTTGATTAGTTCAAAAAGGAAGGATGAGTGGCATATTAAATCTTTTTTTTCCTCTTTCAATGGCAAGATCACCTTTGATCAGGTTCAATTTGTGAGTTAATCATTAGGAAACTAGGTGTTTACAGTTCTTCCAAATTCTAATTTACAACATTAGTTATGTGGATTAATGAGGCATGTTCAATTGAAAACTGAAAAAGTGCCATTAAAAGTTGGGATGATGAGCACTGTCATAGTAATTTTGACACACAACACTTCCAAGTCAGAGACAACAATAAATGTGACTGGTAACATTATTGATGTGTGAGAACATAAGACAGCAGACTGATAAAATGGTAGCACCTTTTTGACAAAAACCAATCAATATTCCATTGACTCATGCAGGTGAGGAGATGACTACATGAGTTGAACACAAGTGTATGAGTAAAGTTCTAAGGTTCCAAAAACAGTCACAGTTCTGTGGAAGATTTCTACAACTGGGACTGCAATAAATGCTATGGCTAAGTTCTTCTCTATTTCTCCTCTAATGTTCTGAGTGAGTTTTGATATTTTTAGATAATGTAATAAGCTTTATATATACAGAGCTTCAATTTGCTATTGAAACTGTATATATAAAGCTTATTGCATTATCTAAAAATATCAAAACTCACTCAGAACATTTAAGGAGCCAGAAAATGTAATTGTAGAATGATCAATGTTAATCATTGTACAATTAAAACCTTTTGAGTGATTTATGGTATTTTCACATAAACTTATGGAACCATTTTATACTCTGAATTGTTATTGTGTGATCAATTATAGTATACATTTTGTTTCTATAAGACATTACTTTTTTTATATATTTATAAGTCTAAATTAAGTTTCATTTTGATAAATAATTATTTGTGAAAGTACTGTTACTACATTGAATATTTCTGCTTTTCCTTAATAAAAGAAAAAGCAGAAGAAAACCTGAAACTATTCTCATTATTTCTATGTTAATTTTAAAGTTATTTCATTTCACAAATATATTTTATAAGATTTAATTATTTCAACCATATAATGGCCTGTGGTTTATTTTATAAAACAAAGTATCATGTGTTGTTTGTATAGCCAGTCTGTTTTATAAAATAAGAGTAGGATGGAGGAGGAGAGGTTGAATCTTCATAGCAGGTATATATTTTATTAGCTATTAATTTATTAATTGTGAAGAATTAGTTTTTAAAATGTCATATATCTCACAGTTTATGTTAATAGTATTTTAACCAATTATTTTTCTCAATAATTTACTTTATACTTCTCATAAAAATACAAAATAGTAAAAAAGATGTATAAATCTTCAGTTTTCTAATAATTTTTTAAAATTTTAATTAAAGTACTAATCCTTCTTTTAATTTTATTTGAAGGATAACACATTTTAATAACTCAGATCTCAATTCATTTATATACTATACTTCATGGAAGTTCATACTAAACATTTTATATTTATGTATGCTGGAAGGAAATAAAAAACAAATTTTGTTTTAAGTAGTCAAGGAATTAGTTCACAAGACAAAACAATTGAAATATACCATTTGACAGTCATTTTTTGCCTTTTTGTTATCATGGTAACAATTTGGTTAATGAGTCTTTCCAGTATTTTAAATACTTTTCAGTTTTATGCAATATGCTTCTTGTCTAGTCTTATGTTCAAATATACGAACTCTAAGATGGCTTTCTCTTTTCCGCTAGACTTATTACACCATCAATGAAACGGAGGACAAACTTTAGAAAGACTTTTTATTTATTTGAGTATGCATTTCGGATAATTATATCCCTTTTCAACTCTTGTGTTACAACTATACAGGGAAAATCAGCATAATGTATACAAGTTAGCAAAATTTTTCCATAAAGTTACAAAATTGTAAAAGAACATTAGGAAACTTACATGGATTTTGAGAAATGCAGGAGTTGTGACATTAGATAAAATACAGATGGTGATTATTGATTAACAGGTATAAGCTACAATAATAATTAAATTTAAAATGATTTACAAAAGGGAATGTTTAACATAGATGTAAAAATTTTTGAACTTACAGTGAACATGACGGCCTGGTACATAGTGTTGGAAAAACATCACCAGTATACACAACACAATGTTGAGTTAATATTAAGAAAATTGGGAACCTTGATCTTGGTTACAGTAAGGGTAATAGAAACCTTTTGGAATCAGTATGATGAAGTGATATTAGTGCACCATTAAAATAAAGGGAACAGAAAGAGATTGTTTTAGTTTACAGTAGAGTTTCACAGGGTGGGATGGTCCACAAATTGTAAGTGAGAGAGGATGCATTAGGATGGCATCAAAAAGCATTGAAAAGGGAAGAGAGGTAGTGGGGGTGGCGTGGACATCCCTCCCTTATGTCCATCCCACCTCCACTACCTCTCTGTGTACCAGGCCGTCATGTTCACTGTAAGTTCAAAAATTTTTACATCTATGTTAAACATTCCCTTTTGTAAATCATTTTAAATTTAATTATTATTGTAGCTTATACCTGTTAATCAATAATCACCATCCGTATTTTATCTAATGTCACAACTCCTGCATTTCTCAAAATCCATGTAAGTTTCCTAATGTTCTTTTACAATTTTGTAACTTTATGGAAAAATTTTGCTAACTTGTATACATTATGCTGATTTTCCCTGTATAGTTGTAACACAAGAGTTGAAAAGGGATATAATTATCCATTTTCATACTCAAATGCATACTCAAATAAATAAAAAGTCTTTCTAAAGTTTGTCCTCTGTTTNCTTTGTAACTGAAGATTAGTGAAACTGATTAAAAATGTTCTTGTTTTATTAAATTCATTGTTGGATTTTAAAAGTGTGAGTTTTTTTGATCTTTAAAATTAATAATTTGTTTATAATTTTACAAGCTTTAATCATAATTTCAATAATTTTTATTCATTGAATTTTGAATCTGCTATTAATTGTGATATATACCATTTAGGATATAGTGTTTTAGGAAGTGCAATTTATGATTTTAGAAATGACATCTGGAAAATTATTTATATAGTTTTATGAGAAATTTATAAATTTTACAAAAACTTTGCTATTTGAAAATTTTATTTCATATAAAAATAATATTGTTTTATATAAATGATAAATCAATTTTTAGAAATTTATATTAAAAATTTCTAAAAATTAAAAATTGAATTAAAAAATCTGGCTTGTTTAATTTTTACTTACTGTTTTTATTTTTTCCTTGCACTATTAAAATAAATTTTTTTAATTTCTTTTAATCAAGTTTTGCTTTAAAAATTAAGATTTAGATATTCTCTACTGTGGATGGCAGTGATCATTTCCTAGCAAATACTGTAAAGATAACTAGATTTCACATAATAGATATTTTCAGATTTTTCCTGAAAGCTAATAAATCATCTTTTCTGTTCTTCAAATTTTATCTCATCTGTCATGGTGCTCAAAAATAATTCTTGAATTCTCATCAAATCTGCATGCAGAATGTGATGACATTTATAATATGGTATAATGTATATTTCTTTCAGTTCTTTACAGCAACATTTGCTATTGAAGCAGGCATGAAGCTTCTGGCCATGAGTCCAAAGTTCTACTTTCAGGAAGGATGGAATATTTTTGATTTCTTCATTGTAGCATTATCTCTTTTGGAGCTTTGTTTAGAAGGTGTGCAGGGATTATCTGTTTTAAGATCATTTCGATTGGTGAGTATTTATGTTTAAGTTTTTTTATTTAATAAAAAATATTAAATAAAATATTTTTTATTAAATTAAGTTTTTATTTAGTAGGTATTTAGTTTTAAGTTTCAAATTTTATATATAATGTGTTTTCATATAAATTTCTTAGATTAATTTAATATAAATTCAAAAAGTTTATAATGTGAATCTATATATATAAAAATGAATGTATGTCTGCGTGTCTGTCCTTCATGCATTACCACACCATTTATCCAATTGCCATGAAACTTTGGGAAGTTGTTTAATATATTCCCACGAAGGTTTCTGGCATAGTATGATTGCCATGAAGCTTTGGGAAGTTTTTTAATACACTCCCACGAAGGTTTCTGGCATAGTACATTTATCCTATGATAGATGGCATACATGTATATGATCATTTCACAGTGTGTTCGATTGATTTCAAATTGTGAAGACTATTTTCCCCCTTCAAAAAATATCTTTATATATGCATTTGTGAACTGTTATTTACGATATTTGTAATAATTTTTGTTTAATCACTTTATTTCAACTTTTTTGCTAATTATGTATTCACTAAACAACCGAAGTTGTAGGAGGAAATTTGCCTATTTTACTGATCTAGGGATCCCTCTTTTTCAAATTTTAATATAGACTCAAAATAATTTAAAAAGACAAATTACAATAAAACGGTTTATTATTCAACTATCAGAAATTTCACAACATTCCAAGGAAGAGAGGAAAGAGCAATTAAATAATTAAAATTGTAAAGGATTAAAAAAAATATATAAAAATGGGGAATATTGCACTTCTGACAATCACTGCAAGTATGTGGGCTAAATTTGGAGAATCTGTGTTTCTCACATGGACAACTATATGTGGCCGGCTCACGCGTCGGAAAACCTTCTGATTTATTCATGTATGCACCAGACGGAAGAACAAAAAACATCATGTATCCACAAGCACTCCAATAAATAAATAGAATTGAAATGACACTTTGAAACGTTTTCCCGATGAAAATGAATAATAATAAGTTTCAATAAAAATGATAAAATGTAAATTGAATTTTATCATAACGAGTTTGCTTGAATTTCCTTTCTTCTGAGATTGCAGCAATGCGCAACGGGTAAGCTAGTATATTATAATTATTTCATCTTTTCATCAAAACATTATAGATAAATAGTGCTATCATTTATATATCAACATATAAAATTTTATTAACTCTCAACAAATATTCTATACAAATCTGCTATCACTGACAAAGCATTAGAAATAATAGAGTTTGTAATTGTTTATCAGTGCTATTTCCAATTTGTATCTTTAAAAATGTTATGGTTGAATTCACTTAGAAGAGCATTGGATAAGGAAGTACTTTGCTGAAGAGAGCATTCTTCTATGCACCAGATTTTCTGTGTTATGTTTTACATACTAATGTAAAACATAACAGAGAAAATAGTAGGACTCTTGTTAAAAGAACAGTAGATAGTAGAGCAATTTGTTTAAATAACAATTAATTTAAAAAATGCACTATGTTAGCTGCATGTTTTAGAGCAGCAGTCTGCTTAAGGAAGCAGCATTTTAAGGAAGATTTACAAGGGTCCTTCTTTAATTTTACAGTATATCACTGCCCAGGGTACCTGGTAACAGAACTCTTGAGATTTGGTGAAACCTTCCATGGATTAGTTTTCTAATAAATGAACAGTTAAAAGATTTCTTACAGAATTACAATGAACAAACAGTGCAGACCACATGTGCATTTTCATCTCAAGAGGACAAGGCAAGAAGTGATTAACAACCAGATTTCAAAAATTACATTATCTTACTTTAAGATTATACTATACTTATTTTTATTTTGTATGTTCCATTAGAGAGCACTCAGAAATTTTGGAGTAAGAATGTTCACTAGGCCTCTTACTGTAATTTTGGGGAAATAGTGAAAGTAACATGATTGGAAAATATACTATACTAGCTGCAAGGACCCGCTTCGCTGGGCAAAAAGTAACGATAGTGAAGATTAAGATAATTACATTATAGCCAATCATACCCATTTTCACAGAATGCAAGAATTAGGTCCCCCGTTTCCAGACTAATTAGAGAATTTTTACACAAGTCTAAAAATATGTTCGATTTCCCTCAAAAACGCAAAAAACTGCCTGTAAATCTTGCATGCCGCTTTATATTAATACTTCATTTGTTACTCAACACTTCCATTGTTAACACTTCCATTGTTGACACTTCCATTGTTACACATCTTCAAAGTCAACCACTTTCAACCCCATATGCAAGAATTAGGTCCCCTGTTTCCAGACTAATTAGAGAATTTTTACGTCCAGTCAAACGAACTATTTTCAATTTGATCAATTTTCTGGAACGTTTACAATTGTTCTATAATCGAACCAATTCGAATTTAAAACGGTTCGAACATTTTTAAATCTTCGAAGTCAACCACTTTAAACCCCATATCTCCCTCACCCTTATAACTATCAAGACGCAACCACCATAGTGCACGAATGGAGACTTGGGGTTACTACCACATACAAACACCATTCATGTGCGATGTGTAGTTTTGGCTGAAAAGTGAAATATAGGGACACACACGTCCATTTATATATATATATATATATAGATTTATTGATTATTCAATAGAACAATAAAATAGTTATATAACAGTGGAAACTAACATATAAGTTAGAATAAAATTATTTGATGATAAATTTTAACATATCTAGCTGTGTTTAAGTAAGGCCTGAAAGTTCATGCAAATGTATATTTCTCCAAACATTTCTTTATATCTTTAGGTAATGTCTAAAAAATTGGTTTTTATGGCTTTGTAAAAGTTTTGAAGTAATGAGCATAATTTGGCACTTTTGATGTTACATTGTATTGAGTGCATAGAGTTGAATGGAAGCATATCTTGTACAAAATAAGTATTTCTGTGCCTGTTTAATTAAGCAAATAATGAGATAAAATAATTTAGAGCTAGTATTTTTGTTATATTTTCTCCTTTTTTATTTTTGTTGTTGAATATCAAAATACTTATTGGGTTGTTCGGAAAGTAATTTCGTTTTTTTCCCGTGAAAAAAACACAATATTTTTATAATAAATAAATATTTTGTTGAATTATATATCAACCATTTTGGTCAAATATTTGTTGTCATCGTTTCTGGTAGTAGCATGATTTCACATTCATAAAAGTTTTGATTGTTGCTTACAAAAAACTGATCCAAGTGATTTTTGACATTGTCATTTCAAGTAAATGTCTTACAGTTAAAAAAAATTGTATAGACCGGAACAAGTAATAATCTGAGTGTGTTCGATCTGGCGAGTATGGTTGGTGCGATAGCACGTCCCATCTAAGTTATAACAGTTTCTAACGAGTTACCAAACTTGTGTGAAATTTGACATTATCGTGGTAAAACACTACACCTGTTTTGTTGATCAATTCTGGCCGCCTTTTCTGTTTGATGATATTACTCAATTTGTTTACTCGATGGCAGTACACTTTCGAATCAATTGTTAAATTGTCTGGTAAAAGCTCCAAAAAAAAATTTCCTTAAAATCCCACCAAAGATAGCATCTCTCTTTAAGAACATGTGGAACTCATATATCAAGCTTTGAAACGAAACCAATTTGTTTCAAGTAATCATAGACAGTTCAGTTTGACAAATTTAATCTCTTAGTGATTTCACGTATTATTATTCGACAGTTTGCTTCAATCAGTATCTTTTATTTTGTTTTCATTGGCTTCAACTGCCCATCCAGAATGTGGTGCATCTTCAATATTGAAATTGCCAGAACGAAATTTTGTAAACCAGTTTTGGCACTATCATTCTGTCAATACATCTTCCCCATACACATCACACAATTTTTTTCTCGTTTGAACAGTATTCTTACCTTTTCAGTAATAAAGGAGCAAAATATACCAAAAAATGCTGCTTTCAATCTTCCATATTTGATGTGACACAAAAAATAAACTATTGCACAAAATCAAACAAAATTTTTTACAAATAAGCCTTAAAATGCTAGCTGTCAAAATATATAATGATAATACGGTTTAGAATGAAAATGGCGGGAAAAATACAACTAATCCATCTAGTGGTAAAAAAAACGAAATTACTTTCCAAACAACCTAATAATTTTGCATTAGTCCATACTAATTTCTTTTGGTTTGTATACTTGTTTTTTATTCATGGACAGAGAAAGAAAGATACTTATTAAATAGTTAGAAAGCAAAATTTTACTGAATCAAAATGTAAATGAATTACATGGAAATGCAGACATAACTATAAATTTTCCTGACGTTGAGCCAGTGTTGACCTATTTACAAGTAGGGAACAGGGTAGTGACTGCAAGTGTGTACAAAAGCCCCAACTGAAAAGTTGATCACACTAAATTAATAATAAAAGATTAGGAAATTAATAAAATTTTATTTCCTATTCTTATTAACTGTTTATTAATTGCTTATTTTTGTTACTTATTGTTAATTACATTTACTTTTAATTTTTATTGTATTTAAATGTTCATATTTGTTGTATTTTTTTTATTTTTATATTTATTCTGTTTGTGTTTTGAATGTTTCTTTCAAAAATGTTCTAAGTTCAAATGTACAATTGAAGAAGATCTATAAACTTAGGTTGAAAACAGTTTTGTTTCATTAAATTTTTACTGGAGTCTAATTTCTCACATCTCATAGTGGCATATCAGGTTTTCCTGACCTCGGCCGCACCCAGCGCAGATTAGTAAGTAGTTAGTAAATACGCCAAGGCGTTACTAGGGAAAGTTAGTACCCAGAGTGGTTTCCTGTTGCCTTCTCTGGGACGTGATGTTACGCGAGGGGAACTAATGCCTTCTGGGAGGACTTTGATGGGGAACTGGCCTCCTATTTAGTCGTTATTGGCAAGGAGAAAACCCGGAAAACTCCAAGCAGCCAGCCTGTCCGATCGCGGCACGAACCCATGACCGAACTCCCAGTGTTTAGGGTACAAAGACCACTCGGCCACTGGTGGGCCTAATTTACAGTGTGAATTTTATTTGTGGCATTCCCTCCAATTTCCAGAGCAATTACATTTAAAAATTTCTTATAACAATAAAAATTATTAAATTTATATTTCGTGTAGTAGCATTATGGACAATTTATCATAGTTTGTAATTTTTTATATACTGAACAAGTTGTACTCTTTAATTTTGTTAAAAATTTAACTAGTTGATTTTGAAAATAGAATTTTAATTTTAACAGGAGATTGAAATTACTCTCAAAGATAATTTTTGAATGTGTTATAGATATGAAAAACATAAAAGAAAAAGTAGAGAACATTATTCTAATACATTGAAACTTAACAGCTTGGGAGACCAAGAATAATATATTATTTGACATTAGATAACAATATAAGCAAAGATGTCACAGTTACAAGTCAATTATAATTACTGGTATAAATGTATTTTGTTTCTATCATAATTTTTTGATGATCAAAAATCTCATTGGTTAATACCATTCCAAAAATAGAATCTTTATTTTAAAACTCAACAAAGGCTTATCTATCAGGCCGAATGTTTGTTTTAATTAAGATTATTTGCTGGAAAAGTGTGTAAGGTGTGTTCAGTGACTTTATATATTACTGGATTATTAAAAGTCTTATTGAAATGTATTGTCTGGAATTAACAATTTGCTTTATCATATATATGTGATATTTTTGTATTTTATTCATAATAACTTAATTAATTGAAAAAATTCTTCAGTTAAGTAAACATTTTCTATATTTTTAAATTAATTTTGACAATAACACATTTTTAGAATTTGGTTTGTAGATCATTTAAACTGTATTCTATAATGTAAAAATTATTAAAGATCAAGAGTTTAAACTATGAGAAAATATGTAATTTCTTTCTAATTGCTTGATGTTATCATATAATTTAATCAAAACATAATTTTATTTTGGACATTTCAAAAGGTTTTATTTGTATTTTCAAGAAATTTGTATTCTGTCTTTAATTATCTCCAATATCTATATATTTTTTAATTAATTATTTTATTTTTTGTTTTATTTTGTTTTGGTCATTTATTTAAAATGACAAAAAGTGTGAATTATAATGTGAAATTTACTTCAATAAAATATTGATTCATTGTAATTCAGATATAATTTTTATTATATCTGAAAATAATGTGCTTATTAGCATTTAGGTAAATAATAGACATTATAACATATAAATGGCAACAATATAATATTAATATTATATGCAATAACATTAGTGATATTTTAATTTTAATCTGATTATGACAATAGTTTGAACAATAAAATAATAAATGACAAGACTATTTTCATTAACTTTTATTTTTTTGCAACAAATAGGACTTAAACAGAATGAAAAATAAACTGATACCAATAAATAAAATATTAATTCTCTGTAAAGAAGGAATAAAATTAAGTTTTGGTTAAAAAAAAAAGGCTTTTAGTTCAGTTTTTCCAAGCCAAACAAGGTGTATGAAAATATTTTATATTAAAATTTATATAAATTGTAAAAAAATAATGAGAGCTATTTCTGTATGCTATAATAAAACAACATTAATTGGATAATGATTGTAATTTTTTATTTTTATTGTTGACATTAAAAGAAAAACTTATGAAATTATATGATTAAAATTTTGAAAACTGTAAATTCCTTTTATTTCTTTATTATAAATTTTATGTTGAAGAGTGGTGTACATTATTAATCTTATAAAAAATTTCATTTATTTTTAAACTTCATAGATTACATATAAACTATATTATTGAGTGGTTCAGATGTTTATTCAATCATTAATTAAATCTATTAAATTCTGAATATTTAGAAATATAAATAAGTAATCATAAAATATGTAATAAAATCTATGTAAAATAATAGAATTTTTAAATTTTTTTTGTAGCTTCGAGTATTCAAATTAGCTAAATCTTGGCCCACTCTTAATCTTTTAATTTCAATTATGGGTAAAACTGTTGGTGCATTAGGAAATTTGACATTTGTATTAGGTATCATCATATTTATTTTTGCTGTGATGGGAATGCAGTTGTTTGGAAAGAATTATTTTGAAGAAGTTCACAAGTAAGAATGACTTTGAAGTATTAATTATGTTTTGTAAATAATAAAATTTATAGAAAATTTAAAAATTGTTTAGGTTTCCAGATGGAGAAATGCCTCGCTGGAATTTTAAAGATTTTATGCATTCTTTTATGATTGTTTTTCGTGTCCTTTGTGGTGAATGGATTGAATCAATGTGGGATTGCATGTGGGTTTCAGGCTGGCCCTGTATTCCTTTCTTTATGGCCACTGTTGTTATTGGCAATCTTGTGGTATGTTAATTAATTCAATTATTTCATATAAAAAAATTTTTAAATAAAAATTATAATAAAATTAATTTAAAAATAAAAAAACAACTTACAATTTAAATGAATTTTAATTTAATTCTTTATTATATATTATGAATTATATAACAGGTGCTGAATCTTTTTCTTGCCTTGTTGCTGTCTTCATTTGGTGCCTCTAACCTGTCCCAAGCTCCTTCAGACAGTGCAGATACAAAGAAATTAGCTGAAGCATTTGAACGGTTTTCTAGATTTTTTAATTGGATCAAAGGATTATTTTTGGCTATAGTAAAGGTAATTCAATTAAACATTAAAAGTTAAATTATTAAATTTATTTTGAATTATTTATTTGTAAATTCTGATTTTATTGTGAATATGGATATTGTTATTAACTTTCTCTGAATTAATTTGTTTAAAACCTATCATCAGCATTTTTTAAATAAAATTTTAAATGTTTATAATACAGACATCATCAATAACATTTGTATAATTCTATAAAAAAAGAAAGATTAATAGTTATTATTATTATATTGAAATATTTATAAAACTAATTTGGCTGCAATTTTAAAAAATTGTAGACCTATAAATTCCCACTGTCATGTTCTATCTGTCCTTTTTTAATCTCGAGAATGATGTTAGATAGATGAAAGTCAAGACCAGATATGGAAAGCTTAGGGGTAATAGGGACCAATTAACTATATATGAACTTCCTCTTTGGACCAGAAGTGATGTCATTTCAATTCAAAACTTTTCTTCTGAATAGAATTAGATACAGGGTTCCTACGCACCTGGAAAGTCAGGGAATTTGTCTTCTTAACTGCCTTGTTGATTTTGTTTGTGGAATATGGCTGACCAAGTGTAGCCATCTGCAGATGACAAGAAGTAATGCTGCAACTTTTATTATAAATATAGCAGAATCTATCTGTTTTTCTATCAAAACATTTTTAGTATTAGAGGACACCACTAGATGTACAAATCCATCTTTTATAAAATTTTTGTGTCTTTCTTATGTGTTTAACTGCTTTCCTTGTCTGATATGATTGAAACCATTTTCCAGACACACTGAAAATTTTTTGGGTCACTTAGTGCTGAACCTTGCACAATCACATATAATGAATTGATTTTAATTTTATACATGTAATAAATCTTACTTATTATTCTATTGTATTGTAAAAATATATTTTAAAATCACTCAAAATCAAAAGTTTAAATCACATCAAATTGTTTAATTTTTTAAGAATTTTGTTTTAATGTTTTGACAGTTAATACAAAGGTTTACTTTTACTGATAGTTGCAGGTCACCTTTAAAACTAACATTAATTGTTTATGTGAAGAATTATTATAAAATGCAACACTGATGAGAGCATTGCTAAACTCTGGGAATCAAACAGTTCTAATATAATATACTATCAAATCAATTAGCATTCTTAAATTTTAAACATTTTGAGATTTTAAAAACGTTTTATTTTGAATTTGAGAGAGTAATCTGCAATAATACTCTCTTGATAATGTTACATCGATTAAAATTTTTCCAAAATATTTTAAGCACAGTACAGTACTATTTGTATATCAGAGAATACTGTTTGTTGATTTTATGCTATCTTGTGTTTATTAGATTTACATACAAATAATAATGATAAATGATGATAAAATAAAAAAGCTTATGTTTCATTTGTAAATTGCTTATTTTTTCATTACATTGAAGTTGTGGATCCTATCAAACATTTTTCTACAGGATGTATATACTATACTTTTTGGCACAGTCTTTGGAACATATTAACTGTGTAAAAGAGGGATAGATGTACTCAATGTTCACAGTAAGTAAAATGCTGTTTTATTATGTCAATATTCCATACTGTAAGAAATGTGAGGGCTAGGGAATTTGGACAAAGTTAGTCAGGGAAAGTCATGGAATTCAAAATAAAAATTGGAGTAGGAACCCTGTACTTACATGACTGGCATGACTTCATTGTTAATAGGAAAAGTATGATGTACAGGGGCAAGATACTACTAAACGTAAATGCATTAAGACAAAAATTTCAGCCTGGCATTGTGACAATGTCACAATAAATAATTACTCATTTTATAATTGTCATTTTGAAGAAGAATAAATAATAATGTTATTTAACATTACTTTTTTTTTTATTAAAAGATTATTTAATCAGATTTATTTTCATACATGAGAAAATATTAATTAAAAAGACATTTCAAAAATTACAGTATTTAAAAATTCATAAATAACTTCCATAATGTTGAAGGAAAAAATTTGTATAATTTATTTAGTTTTTGTTTTTCAAAATATGGAATACATTACTGAAGATAACACAGAATTAATCCTACTGTATTCTGTATCAGTATTTTAAAAGCACTCATATTCAAATATTTGGATCCTCTAAATACTCATTTGAAGAGAAAAAATCTTCAAAGATATTTATTAAATGCTTTTATCTAATCAAAGCCAAATGATTCCAGTAATGAATCATGTTATTTTTCAGCTACTATTAATGATTAAATTCTAAGTAATTTGGTACTAGATGTAGGCATTAGGCACCATCTCTTATTAAATTTAATAAGAGATGGCAGCTACTATTAATAATTAATATTAAATTATTAATAGTTGCCGAAAAATATCCTGATTCATTACAAAGATATTTTGGCTTTGATTGTTAACATTGGGCTTTGAGTTTATGTATGCATTTATTTAACTTTCTTTTGTATCATGTATTCAAATTTCATCCATTTCTAATTAAGATAGAATGTTGAAACATTGAAGACATGCTTAAATCTGATAATGATGCATTTTTAATAATGTTTTAGAGCAGTGGTTCCCAACCTTTTTTCATTAGCGTACCCCGTGACATGTCATATCTCTAGATTGTACCCCGTGACATGTCATATCTCTAGATTGTACCCCGTGACATGTCATATCTCTAGATTGTACCCCTCATTTAAGAAATTTAGTGAGTAACCGTATTGTTAATTTTACATATTGTAACTTTAAATTAAAGAAAAAAANAACGAATCAACTGTATATGATTTTTGAGAGATGACAGTAAATATTATAATTTCATATCAGTATCTCAAGTTCATTGGCAACTGTTCATGTTCGTAAAGTTAGCCAGCAAACTGTTTGATCAGTTTACCAAATGTCGATAGTTTAAATCTCTCATTTAACGACAAATTATTTTTATCTTTAATCACTTAGTAATATAATTTAATTCTTAAAATTTATCATTAACTTTGCAGAGAAATAAATTTTGTTGAGTTGATGCTTCATTTGATGATTAAAATGATTAAATTCATAATTTAAGTGATAAATTTCATAGGGAGTTTCTCAAATTGAGGGTCAAATCACAAATTCCTGACTTTGATTTCTTGAAAACATCCCATTTCTGGACATGCATTTGTGCCTGTTTATTCATTTTCCTGTGAGGAATCATCTCTTAAAAGTTTCATTATTTTGGAAACACTGTATATTTAAACTGGAAGAAAGAAAAGATCGACCTGGAGGAGGACTCAAACCGTAACTCCCACTTGCTGTGCAGATTCATTGCCAATTACACTACCAGGACCTCCAGCTCAATCTCCTCTTCTATGTATAGCTAGACACCAATAGTAATATAGCCATGTCTAGGCTGATAGAATTTGGCATTGGTTGGTGTCTAGCTTTATAGTATATCGGGTTTAGCGATGTTGTTTGCTTCCATGTATATTTAACTTATGATATAACCATCATTGGTTATTCTAAAATGATTTAATTAAATTTAATTGACTTCATTCTCAAAATTTATTATACTTTTTTATAATAGAGAGAAATTATAGGGACAAATTAATCAGTAATTCAAAATTATTATTGCTGAAATATAGCCCAATATTATAAGGCAGTTAATGTAGCTTTATAAAATACTGATTTAGTATATTTTAATTTTTTTTATAGATATCAAGAGCTTATTGAATTTTTAATCAATAAAATTAAATATATTACATATTTTATTATGATATAAATGGCATATTTTTAATTGGTCAAATTGCCCAAAAACTGAGTCTTTAAAAAATTCAACTTTACAGCTGCTATAATAATCTAATAAAATAATCTTTATTTTTTGTAAATTCAAAAATAGAAAATAGTGGTTGCTGATTTAACACTTATTTCCAAACTAATAAAGATAATGTTTATAATTTTTATGAGAGCTTGTAATGAGTTGCTTCAAAGTTTTTATTGAGACACCTTATTCTTTTTGGAAAATTTTTATTACAGTTAATTATTTTTTTTAATATGTAAAGTTAATTGTATTAAAAGAATTTTAATAATACTGTATATTTTAAAATACTTTTAAATTTGATATTTATATACTACAAATGTTACTTTTATAGTCATTTATTCAGTAATCATTTTTAAGTTACTGTTACCTCCTCCTTCCAATATCATTTCAAAATCCATTTCTCTCTATTTTGTTCTTTTTAACTGTAAACTATAAACAATCTTTTTCTTGTACCTGCTATTTTTCCTGTCGGAAAGAAAAATAGCAGGTACTTCAGATGAAATATTTGAGATGATGATTAATCTTTCCTCTTGTTTTTTTTTTCTCTGTTGTCTTACTCATAGATCTTCTTTTCCAATTAGATTCAGATCATTTTCTTGTTTTATTTGACATTTATTTTATTTTTATTATTCTTTATCAGCACTACATATTGCAACTTGTAGCATTTGTTTCATTTGTGTTGTTAGTGTATAGATAATAATTTGCATATACAGTTTTATTCACTGTCTTTATAAATATTACTATTCTTGTCTATCTTAATATTTTTCAATGAAAATATATTAATTGTAATTGGTGTAGATACATGATTTAATTGTATTTTAAGTACATATTCTAAATCTCTAAAAATTCATAATTTTTTCTTTGCTTTCTGTGACCTCTCTGACTTTAGATTTGCAACTCTAAATGAATAATCAATCATTTCATCATTACAACAGTAAATGTTAAAGATTCAGGTTATGATGATATAGCTAAAATTTGATATTTATTATATTTAATTTGCCTTTTTTAGTTGTGTTAGAAAACTAAATAATAACTTTTCACATTACATATATCCCTTGATTAACACAGTTAATTAATCTCTTGAACCTATTGCATTAATCAAAATATGGTATCTGTTATCTCAATTCAAAACTTTCCCCTGAAAGCAGTTAATAGATGACCAGCACAACTTCATTGCTAATAGAAAAGTATGATGTACAGGAGCAAGACACTACAGTACTAATTTGAGGTGGAGAGCATATATTTTAAATAAATGAAATCAATTAAAAATATGATTAAAAATTGCAGCTAGGCATTGTGATGATGTCACAATAAATAATTGCCCATAATATGTTTAATTAAACAATAACATTTTTAAACATTGGGCTAGGCCAGTGGTTCTCAATCTTTCTGAGGCCATGGAACACCATTTATATACTTCGTGTTTTGCAGAGCATTAGTTAGCATCAATATATTAAAAAAAATGAATAAGCAATTCTGTATTTACTATTCTGATGAAACAATAAACTAATAATCTTTATTGTAATGAATAAAACAGAAACATGGAACTGTCTACAAACAAAGTAATATGTTGTGTCTTACAAACCAAGCAAATTAAACTTTCAATAATCCTATTTAGATTAAGCATATTAGATTTTCAGTAAAACTTTAAAAAAATTATTTTCTATGGAACACTCAAGGCAAGTTTGAGGAATGCCAGTTAAAAACCACTGGGCTAGGTGGTAGTTATCTGTATCCTACTGAAGGCTGTTTGAGGAATTCAATAGCCTATGGAAGATTGCACTTTTACATACAAGACATGACAATTTTTTCAGCCTTATTTTTGCATCTTATATGCTGTAAAATACAGTTATTAATGTATAAAATTTTGTAATTATAACAAATGCAACAGGCAGATAAACAAGTGAATCCTGAACATGGGGTGAAAGGTGTTAAATTAAACCAGTGTCATGCTGGCAACATCAAACTTTGACACCAGCACCCATATACAATAGTTGAAAATAAACTTGGGGTACGTTCGTTCGTTAAGTCGAACGAGTTAAACGCGTTAGTAACGAATCGTTCGAAAAGTAGTAGTCTCGCTCAGTGCGCATGCTCTGCGGTGATGACGTTTCGAACGAAACTCTAACGAAGTTTACGAAGGAAAGAGTTGGTTTACTTCGTTAAGAAAATGNTCATTTAAGAAATTTAGTGAGTAACCGTATTGTTAATTTTACATATTGTAACTTTAAATTGAAGAAAGAAAACCTAAAAGAAAAAATGTATAATAAAGTTGTGATTGTTGCAAGGAACATTTTTTATCTAATAATTTTTTAATACTATTAGTTTGTGATACATATTATTTTTTCTGCCATAATAACTAACTTTTTTCTGTACCCCTAAACAACCTATCACTTACCCCTAGGGGTGTGGTGTACCACCATATTGTTCGTTTCGTATAAAATGAAAATATGTAGATATTTCCCTTTTTTTTCTTTTTTCCCTCCTTGTCCTTCGTTCCATGGAACATTCTGGAACCTTCGAACCACGTGGGGGGAATCGACCTACTTGGAAAACAAAGGAAAAAGGGGAGCCCTGAGGGTGAGAATGAGGGAACGGACACTCTTAGCCCGGGCGTCACAGAGGAAGGACGTGAAGTAGAGATCTCTGGACTGTTTTCGCAGCAGTCAGGGATAGACCTGGACGATAGGCTAAGGACGAGTATCGAAGGACCCACGGAACTTTGGTATTGGAGATCGCACGAGATTAGTTGCGGAAGATCCCTTATTCCAGCACAGTGAATATTTCCCCGGCTCCCCTCAGCGAACCGAGAAGAGTACGTATTGGCCATCTTCACTAAGACTAGAGCGTCGACCATCTTTGGGTACCCATCTCTCATTCCTGTTTCATTCTATACGTCTTACATCCTGTCCCTTTCTGTTTTATTCTTGATAATTAGTAATTAGTCTTAAGCCTTATATGTATACGTATTTTTGTCGCGATCTAAATTGTCGGTTAGATCTTAACTTCATCGCGGTTTTGTCTCAACATTCCTACCTGCGTGTGGGATTCTTTGTTCCTACGGGTAAGCCCAGTACCTAAGGGAGTATCGGAATCAAAAGATCCTGTAGTACTAAAATTTAAAAGGAGTAACCTACGGTGAAAAATAAAGCTTTTTTCGTTGTTTTATTCGTATTCCTTTTTCTTGCTTTACAACTCACCATTCGGTGACCACAGGGGTACGCGTACCACAGGTTGGGAATCGCTGTTTTAGAGGATGGATCATTTGAAACACAATAAACATAACCAAATGTATAATTTAATCATGTGTATAAATGCATTGTAGTGATGTCTAAAGTGGGGGCAGCACCACTCCCACTATTTTTTCTCCTCCAATCATGAAAAAAAATTATTAATAAAAGCATTTTTTAATGGGTGTTATTCTTAATTTATTTTATACAGGAATATTTTAAATGACTGACAGATACAGAATCATGAAATTCAAATTTGTATGTTAATTCAAAAGTTAAAAAAAATGTAATGTAATACAATAACACAGAAATATTTTAATAATAATAGAATAGCTACAGAATAATATAAATATTTAATTCAGTTTAAGATAACAAATTTTAAGATAAATGAAGCAAAATCAATATTTAAAAAGCAATATATCTTTTTCAAGAAGTCAAGAATCTTTATAAACTTTGTAGAGTAATTGATTTTGATATTCTTTCTCACACCTCCGGAAAATAACAGTCTTACAATTATAGTCCGGACAGTTATATCAAATGTATATTATATTTTTTATTTGTGCATCACTGGAAAAAAGTCCTGTAACGTTTTGCATAGTGAGGCAGATGAGCAACCTCTAATAAAAAGTTGACTTTGCCATAAGACTGTTAATTTCCTGAGGTGGGAGAAAGGACATCAAAAGACTCATTACTGTATAGTCTTTAATTTTGAAATTAATTTACAGTTTTAGTCCTGGCAGTTATATCAAATTCTAAATTCTTCTTAGAAGTGTTTTTGAAATTAAAAAATAACAGACCATAAAAAAATGATATACCTTACAGAGTGGTTTGAAGTTTAAACAACAATTTCAGCTATTTTGAGATTTTGATAATGAAGGCCAAATATCCTCAAAAGTATTCAATTTAGATTTTTGATTTCTTGAAAGAAGTATATTCACTAATGTATTAATATAGAGTAAGCAAACAGAGTATGAAACAAACTAAAATAACTTAAATAAACCATTATATCAAATTTTTAAAAAACTGCTTAAAAATTCAAATTCCTGAAGAATAATTAATGGAAACTTATAAATATTTTCTCATTCACTTTTTCAACTGACATCGGGATGGAGAAGTTTGAAAAATGTTTTATCAATTAATGAAAGTGTGACTGTTATAATCTTAGTAGATTTGTTTTTCTCCTTATTTGATTTATTATATTTCAAATACAAAGTATTTTAAATATTTCAGAATACTTGAGATACTGGGTTTATGATAAGAGTAAACAGTTTCAAAGAGTTATTATGTAATTTAGAATAAATAAAACAAATAATAAAGTTGTCTTATATTTACAGGGTGGTTAATAAATATTTTAAATTATTGATTATCATATTAAATATATGTAAACTATCTTGTCATAATATGCATCAATTGCCACTGTCTATCTGAGGACAATAAAATAAATTGTAGACAATAAAAAATGTCTTTATTTAACAATATTCTCTTTTATAAATTATCAAAATACATTTTGGCTTTATCAAATTTAAGCTCTCTTTAGTTAAGAAGTTTATAGCAATAGTCTTAGAGAAACAACACCTCTCTGACATTACAACAAAACCAGAACATCTGATACATACATGGTAAGAATGATTGAAACTATAATATCTATCCAATAAATTGTATAGATATTAAATATTATATTATAATAAAAAATTTTTCTTCCACTTTTTGAGGTGGAAGAAAAAATATTTTCACATATCTTGCACTCTCAGCTGCTTCATGGCTGCACACACAAATTTTTCTGCTTTGTGCTACATACAGTCACCCATATAGATACAAACAGGAATATAAAATCTTATGTTGTCTGTGTTGTTCCTAATACAAAAGAATGACAAGAAATTAGAATTTAATTGAAAATAAAAAGAGTAAACTTAAGGTTTGTTTAAAAATATTTGAATTTTTAAATAAACCTTAGAAATGGATAGATATTCTCATTTCTTTAGAAATGGTTAGCATTTCCATGAGATTGAGCATAATACTTAATTTAATAAGTATTTAAGATTAATAAATAAATTTATATGTTTATATATATTTTTTTACTTTCTTTTCATACTGATATATTGATTTAAGAAAATTATTTAGGCAGTGAGAGCTAAAGCTAGAAATCAAATAGCTGATCAAACAACTGAAATTAGAGAAGATATGGAAGATTTACCCCCTGGGACTGAAATTTTGGTAGATGGTCAAGTTCCAATGAAAGATAAAAAGAGTCCTAAAGAATTGACAGAATTAGAAGTTGTTGTTAGTGATGGTCTAGAAATTGCACTTCAAGGTATTTGATTTTATTAAATGTTTTCATTTTCTAAGCAGTTTATATTTACATGTATTCATTTAATTATTATTAATGCTTTGATATATAATAATCGTGATTTCTTTTTGTTATAGATGATTTTTTTTTTTAATTTTGAAATTTTTAGAGCTGATAATAATCAAATAAATTTAACGACTTCAAGCTTTACAAACATCAAATTTTAACATTAAATTAAAAACGTAAAATTTTATATGTAATTATTTTTAAANCTAACGAAATAAGAATAACGATGATGTCATTCTCGTTTAACTCGTTCGACTTTACGAACGTACCCTTAATCAGGAAAGGAGAATGTTTGAGAAATGAAAGATGTAGAAAACAATTGTTAATGGTCTAAAATGTTATAAAAGGAAAATAACTGATAAACTGGATAAAATATTTCCAGTTTGTTTCAATTCGTAATTTAAAAGTTTTTTATACTTTGCCACATTTTTAGTCATACAAAAAGTTTTACATTGTGATATTTAAATATTGTTCTTCATACTATATTTCTGTAAAAAATTGATGTTAAAAGTAGTAATATGTGGTGAAAAACACAAATATACCCAAAACCAGTAAAAGGAATATAATGAAAAACAAACATACATTTGTTTTTCATTACATATAACTACTTTTTGAAGAAGTAAATGTAGTAGGTAATTTTGATTTTTAAATCAAAATCACTAATCACATCAAAATCTATTACTATTTAGCTTATACACTAGGAATATGAATTTAAACTTTAGTGGGTGATAAAAAATAAAAACTGAATGTGAATGAACAGAATAAATTATGGAACAAACAGGAAACTATTTTATTAAATAAACTTGAAGCTTTCCAATTAAGCATTTGTAATGTTGATTGTGACTATTAAATTCTTGAAATTATTGCATTAACTCTCATTTTGAATTTTTAATAATAAATACTTTAAAAGTATTTTTAATCTTACACAGTAAATATTAAGTCGTCATCTCTTTTTATGGCTACAAAGCAACTTATCAAAGTTTTTCATTAAATATGTGAGCATTCTTTTCTTTATTAAATGAATTGTTATATTTGAATTCAAGTTTATTAACAATATGATAAAATTGTAGCCTCATTCACTCTTTCCAGCAGTTAATTAGTATTAGNCATTTTAATCATAATTGCTGTTTAATATGAATTTTTAAATTTTGATTTTTTTTTTTGTAATTTACATTTAACTTAAAATTTTTTCTTGAAGTTTGTCTATGACTTTTAGAATAGTTTAATATCTATTATAATTTGATTTCCTTGATTTAGTAGAATAAAAATAAATAAAATGCTACTGTAACTTCTGAGTATTAATTTAACAGTACTAATATAAGCTGATAATCTTATTTTTAGGACAGATTTACTTAGGTACATTAATTGAAGTTTAGCTGGGTTTTAGCCCAAAAATCTAGTATTTAGATCTAGTATTTAGATGCTTGATTATATAGTATATTAAATTTCAGAATGCTTTATTGAGATGATAAAAATTACTGTAATTAAAGTTAGCCCAAGTTTTTAAGCTTTCAGATCATTGTAAAGAGTCCCTTTCCCAAGAAAAATTTTGATGCAGTCAAAGTCAGCATTAGAGTTTATGCCACCGGGGCAAGACCTGCATTTGACATTCCTTATCCCCCTACATAAAATTTAAAAAAAAAAAATTTGTTTTGAAATGCCATATCTTGTTCTATCAATCAATATTCAACTGCACTGTGTAACATAAATATTTAAAAAAGTGAATTTAAAGTTAATATGCCTGAAAATTTTGTATAAAATTTATGAAAATTTGCTGCCCTTGTCATTTGCCACTCTGTGCAAATGCCCAGTTTGTCCATATGGTAACACCAGCCCTGGATATAGCATCTGAGTAATAAAAGATGTTGTCTTAGTCACAATAGCCATCCAAAATTCAATAACTATTTTATCTTGCTTATAAATGAACTCTATGATCAAAACACAACTGAATGTAAATGTTACAAGATGCACTTTTTGTAAAACAAGTAAATTGTGTGTAAGGTTATTGGTTAGGTATTTTAGTAAGAAGAGATAACTTCAATGAATCTGCATTCTCTTTCTCTTTTAAATTACTCAAAAATATATCAATGTTATATTAAAATATAGAAAAATTCATTTGTCTGATGAACAATTTAAAGACATATTCATCTAAGATTGAAAAGTGATGATTGTTGAGTGATGTTTTCAAATTGTTACTTTCATATATCTCCCCAATTGTTCAATCTTTCATGTTGCTGTTGCATACATATAATATATTTATTACATCAAGTGTAGAGTATTTAGTTAATTTCTGGAAAGTCAGCTGTTTAGATCAATCATTCAAAAGTTGATTTTTTTTGGTATGATTTTTCCTTAAGTATTAAAATAAATAAAGAACATTACTACATCTCATTAATGAAATTTACAAATGAGAAACCATTTTGTAAGCTAAAACTCATGATATTTTTAATATCACTTTATAAATATAATGAATAGAATGTTCATTAAGTCTAATATATTTTTTAATTGAGATATTTTAATGGAGACAGATTTCTTGCCAAAATGAAAATGGTTCAATAGAAAGAAGACTTTCAATATGTTATCAGAAAATCCAAAAATTTCAGTTTTTTTTTTTGTTATTTGAGTAATCAGTTTAATCCTTGGTGTATAAAAAGTACAAAATGGCATGCAACTAGGACATTTTAATGTCATTTTCTTACTTTTGAATGGTTTAAAATAAGGACAGCAAATTGATATTTGAGGCAGAGCATTAGCAAAGCCTCTTCTATGTGGCTTACAGAAGTGTGTTAATTCTCAAAATCTGATTGATCGATTTTGATTAAACTTTGTCATTTTCCATTAATTGCAATGAATAATCCAAAAATGTAATTAAAAAATGCAGGTTCATTACTTTGTTTTCAAGATATAAAGTCGTAGCATGAGCATTCATGACAAAACAATATCACATGAATTACACAACTTTGTCGAGTGATGTTTCACAGTCGCTAGCATGTCTTTTATGGGTTGTAGAATTGACCTCATTCTCAAAATTTTATTGACCAATTCTGTTAAACTTTTCCATTTTCCATTAATTGTGATGAGGAATCCAAAAATGTAATGAGGGTCCATAAATGTAAGAAATAGATGTCCATGACTCTTGTGATATACAGAGGAGTTAAAGTGAAAATGTTCATGCTCACCTGATATGCACTCAGAAAATTTATCATCCTTTTTTATTTATGTACTTCCTACAAATTCATTCTATTGTATTTTAAAGAAAAATTTGCAAAATCCATAAATTTCTTTCAAATGATCATGAAAGTTTTAGCAAAGAAATCTGTTACATCAATCAGAACACATGTTCTAAATAATGACAGACAACTGGCTAAAATCAGCCATGGTGTAGTTACCATTTAATTGCTGTATCTCCACCTGAATACCAGTAATTTAGTTTATCACCTCTAATGTAAAACCTAATAATACATGAACATTTTGAAAATATTTACTTAAAAAAATCATATTAATATTATTTTCCATTTACTTTTAATGTAATTTTTAATATAATTAGTACCTCTTGAACTATATTTTTACATTTTGTTGTCCAAAAATGCTGTACTAAAAATTATTTTCAATATCATTTGATAGAGATTTTTTAAAACCTTTGAGTACTGCTGTAAAATGTCAAGGAACAAAACCATATAAAGATAGGTAAATAAAACAAAGTTTATTTTATTGAGAGAAATGAAAGGAAAAAAACAATTAATTGACATTGCCTGGGAAGCAATTATTCAATGCATGCAGTCACAAACTATCACATGTACCAATATTTAACAAAGCCATGTGTAATTTTTGAACCTGTTCAAAGTTTTATTAAGATAATCTGAGCCTCATCAGATGTGTCAGCTAGTTAATTTTGCTAAATGCAAATAAAGTTAATCTTTGTAATAAACAAAACAAATTGCTACAAACAATTTGGAAAATTCAAAATCTTTTTAGATATACAGTCGATTCCACTTAATTGGGACACATTAGGACTAATCCATTTTGGCCCAATTAAGCGGCTGCCTCAATTAAATGAACTAATAAAAAAATTCTAAAATAAAATATGCAATACGTAGGTAAAAAAATAATAATTAGATACCTATTTTAATGCTTTATTAATTTAAACCAAAATACAGAAAATATTTTACTATAAATTTGCCAAACTCATGATGATAGATAACTGATTCACATCACACTAGTGTTGCCAAATAGTAGTGACGTACGTAAGGGTTGTCCATTTGATCTGTTCCTGATCAAACAATCTTTCTTTTCTCCATTTTTAGTTAAAATGGGTTTGTCCAAAAGTCACCTTAAGGCCTTTCTTTGAGCACAGTTTCTTTTATCTGGAGATAGGCCACTTTGGCAGGAGTGTCCATAGTCTGCCATTTCCAGATGCTAGTGTGAGTTCCCAGACGAGGTTTGTACTCGAGTAAACCGTGAAATTCTTGCACGGCACAAGATGTAAATGAGACTTGGAACTGTTTGAGGATATGTCAAACTATGTCAAGATCTTAGCAGAAGACAAACTCTAACACAAGCGCTCATAAACAGGTAGATCTTTGACTCACGAGTCTATAAAATGTTGGGCGAGATAAACCTTATCGAAAAAAAAAAAAAGGAGAATTTTTGATAGATGAAAATGATTGTTAAATTCTTAGATGTCAAAAAATGGTATAAACAATGGCCTGAGTTATAAGTGCAGGTGTTATTGTTTTATAAACATTCACCAAGCAGAGTTGACAAAGAAGTATCAGATGGACACCTCGAATTGGACCTTTCCCACGACCCGAAAAGGTTTCGTCTTGCACCTGGAGACAAAGGAGAGACCAATAGGGAAGTGAGGAATGGGACGAGGGACCAATCCGAAATGCGAATAGTGGGGGAAAAACTATAAAAATCAGAACTTCAAGGTCAGAGAAGAGTCTCCTCTGGATTAAGCCTACAGTTGTGCTTTATCTATTGTGTTGTGCTATTGCCGATCACCTAGGACG